GCATGAATGGAGCGGCATTTGGAACGGGCCATAGAACACACTACATGTACATTGCAGCATTCTCAAATTAGATAGAAAAGAACATCTGGTTTGACTGTAAATTGTATAAAGTACGGCAAAAGATATACTATACTCATGATGTACAGTGTTGCTCTATATAGAGGTCGACATAGTCTCTGATTATTGTCTGTTTGTTATTGTCTGGCAAAGTTTTTGGCAAGCATGATGTCATACATGTTTAACAAAGATTCCCAGGCATGCTGCAGTGAAATATTGCATTTGATGATTTGTTTTACTATTTCAGGTTCATTGTGACACTCCAAAAGAAACATGCAGAGAGTGGAACAGAACAAGAGAGAAAAGATATAATGATGACATGTAAGTACTTCAAAAATTTGATCTGCTACACTGTCACATATCGTCAATTCTGTGCCATCAAATCAAAAGCAAGCTGTTGGTCATTGCATTTAGATTAGATGCATTGGTGATGAGATTTGAGCCTCCAGAGTCAAGAAACAGATGGGATTCCCCTCTGTTTGTTATTCAGGTATTCTAAATAAGTAAGATTTTATGCATGCAAGAATTTACAAAATTGATACCTCTACTTGTTAAGCTATATGTATGTTCTTACGAGTAGAAGGTATAATTATTATTAAAATGTTTCCATGTTTTTGTCAAGTTTTAGTATAAAATCTACTAGCATTCTATCACAAATGCCGTTCCATCTGTTTTGTTGTAGATAGTGATTACTGAAGTAGTGTTCGCTTGTTAACAAAATGACGGTTGTTTCCTTTGTGTTTTCGAGGTGTCTATGAAAAGGATTTAGTTTTGAATGACTAGTAGATTTATACTAAAATAATTACATGCAGATTATTTGCTCTCGATTTCTATGTGTGATAGTTGGTTTGGGCTGTGCCCTCATCAACTATTTTGCAATAGAAATCTCAAGCTCATTATCTAATTGTTTAATAGAAACATGAATGGAAGTTTGTGAGAACAGTGGGTTTAAAAGGGTTAATTCAAATTCATTTGCTGGTGATATATTTTATTTCTTTAATTACTTAGGTGGGCGACAACCTTCCTTTCGACTCTATATATGATTCACTGATTAACAGAATACCGCCTCCACCAAATCAGGCTACCCAACCGGTAAGAATTTGCAGTGTATGCTGCAGACATATTTGACATTTGTTGTACAATCATGCATGTACACATTTATTTCTTAGTGCATGATTTGTTCAAGGGAAATTGTGCATTGAGCCTAGTAGATGGCGTTAGTTTGTTGCCACATTGAATCATCATTTTTGTTCTACTTTCATTTGTATTTAATTAATATGTTATTTTTGTTTCGTCTGATAAGCAACCATTGTCTGCAACAAACTTCTTATATGAACTTGATAAAATGACACAAGAGATAGTCACGGTGAGTAACTCTCAGCTTGAATTCTCAAAGACATGTACCACTGCCAAGCATTGCAACAAGCAGTCTATTCACATACCTGCTCTAACTTAATAAAAACCGGCTCAAGAGGGACGTGAGGGAGGTTTTTTGTTCGTACTCTGCTTGTTCTTTGGTTTAGTGCTTACTTCACTCACACACTTGCTGAATTTAAAAAGAACTGGTGTGAACAGGCCATTTGTGCCTTCCCCAGAACCCAAGGTACTGTAGTTAGCGTTCAGGCGGCAAAAGTTTGTTGCTGCAGAAGAAACCTTCAATTTCTGTAAAAACGTTAATGTTGCTCTACAAAAGTACATGTATATTCAGCTCCACATGAGAAGCTCTAGTGAAGTTATATATCAAGATAAGGGCAGTGAATTATTTCATCCAATACATCGTTCATTGTATATCGAGGAAATACTTTTATTCTCGCAGGCATTGTTGAATTCTCAACGTACATTTGTACCTGGTGATCATGTAACAGTTCCAGGGACGTCCGAAAAAATATCCTTTTGAAACTCCGGACAATTTATAATGCCTGGAGGGAAAGCATTGTGTGCTCCAAGGACCCCTCCCTCATTATCCCCGCCCTCTCTCCCCTGAGAGGCTGAGAATCTCTGTGTCGTTTTTTCCGCGGCATTTCTATGCGACGTAAATTTATGTCTTTATTTGTTTTCCTTGACGATTTTTGCTCTACGTTGTCCTGAATAGAACTGTTAACATGGCGGAATTGAGAAGAATACGTCGGCAGTTTATTACTTACACCAAAATGCACCCTGTAGAAGATACAAAGAAAATTGCGAATATGTTTGTACAATACCTGAACAGTAGCGTCAAATAAATGCTCTTATTTTATGACATCTCAGTCTTTTTGTTAAGTATTTCTAAAGCGGCAAGTCACAGACTATAAAAAAGGTTTTTAACTATACAATTTATACTGACTATTTTTCATTTAGAACCATTCATCAAAAGCGTGGAAAAGTATGTTGTACATGAGGTTATTGAGCCCAAGTACATTGTAAGCACGCTTGTTTGCCTAAAATCTGTTTTGTTTGCTAAAGTAGTGTTGAAGCAGGTAGCTCGTTTTCTTCTTGTGTGCATCAAAAGACCACAGCACGCACAAGAGACAAACAGAACAGGAACACAGGAACGGGACGGAAGTTTCCACTGGACGGAGTTCAGTTTGTTTAGGTTCCGTAGGCGCTAATAGTTGGATTATTGTTCTTTTAAATACTCACTGGAAAATGGAAATACTCCACACAGAGAGCACGAATGAACTGAAACTGAAGCAAGATGAATCATGACATTGAATTAATTTAATAATTATTAAATGGCAGTGAACACTACGTCAAGTTGCCATATATTGGAATAAGAAATTACTGTAGATGTCTTGTCAAGGGCTCCGCTATGGACGGGCCGCTGTTTTGTTTGCTGTCTTGAATTCAGTTTTTATGCCCTCG